CAGCTCAGGAACACTGCTGAGATGTTGGACCAGATCCCTGACCCCGCGGCCAAGTGGATTGGAATCTAGATAAAGAAAGTCTAGCACTGGTACATACTTTAGAGCATGGGCCAGTGCTGCTGCTTCATATTCACCCATATTTGTATCGCTCAGCTCCAGATTAGTCAAATTGGGTACATTGTTCAGGCTCTTGGCCAGTTCAATAATCCCGTGACCCAGGGCATTGTCGTCTATATTCAGTTTTTCTAACTTGTTTAAGTACTTTAATGAGGCAGCCAGTGCTGATGCTTCATCTTCACTCATATTTGTATTCGTCAGGTCCAGCTCAGTCAGATTAGGTACATTGTTGAGGTTCTTGGCCAGTTCAATAATCCCGTGACCCAGGGCATTCTTGCGTATATTCAGTTCTTCTAACCTGTTTAAGTACTTTAATGAGGCAGCCAGTGCCGCACATTCCTTTTCTCCCATTTGTACATCCCACAACTCTAATTTCATCAACTGTGGCACGTGATGAAGATTCTCAGCGAAATGACTCACGCCTCTGTGTAAAGGGATGAAGGACAGGTCGAGCGCACCCAAATTTGGAGAATGCTGCGGTAAGTCAGAGATAAAAGCAGCACACTTTGCTGCTCTATTCATTTTGCTAAGTTTTAAACTGTGGAGATTGTCAGTAAAATTAATTCCGTTAATCGCGCTCTTAATCAATTGATCTATAAAGGCTTTCTCCTCCTCCTCCTCCTCCTCCTCCTCCTCCTCCTCTTCTTCCTCCCATGGTCCCCATATGTTAATTTCTCGAGGATCAACACGCAACACGTAACACAACACGTTCAACAGAACAGCATCCCTAACTGTTCTAACAGAAATGTCAATCTTTCTCACCAGTGACAAACAGTGGTTCTCAGTCAAAGGCAAATCAATGTTGTTGTTTTCATTATTTACCACATTATCCACAGGTGGCTGAGAAGAGCAAACCGGCGCTGATATCAGTTCAGGAAGCAATTCAGAATCAAAATACTCATATGTTATGTCACTCAGATAGACAAAGTTTCTCCCCCCGGATTTTTTGAGGAAAAAGTGCCCAACGATTAAATCCGCGTACTTTTGTACATCTTTAGTTTCTCCAGAAGGCGTTAAAACGACCGCGTTCAAGTCTAACACTATTGATAGAACATGTTCAGTCAAATTTTCAATTGAAAAAAATAAATAGTTTGGGAAACTGCTGACAGATTTGAAGAAGTGTTCTTCAGCAGCAGCAGAAGAGTGTCTCTCCTCAAGTATCACAACATGGTTAACACATGAGAGAAATGCAGAATACACGGCTGTTCTGTCTGAGGCTGGACACAAAAACAAACAATCGACACAGAGTAGAATAAACT